AAAAACACGCCAAAAATAACCCAAAACCCTAACCTCTGCTTGGAGAGTATATATATGAGTAAATTATCATTATTATTTTTATTGTTGTTGTTATTATTGTTCTTGTTAGTATTATTATTATTATTTACTGTATGCACTGATGATATTGTAATTAGTTGAATATCCCGACTTGTTTTTATATAGTTCAATTATACGTTATGTAATTGTTCTGTCTTAAGGTATTAATCTTTTATCTATTTGTTATGTGAAGTTTCACTACAAAAAGAAATCGGACCTTTATTTACGCACAGTTTAAAGCATGCATTTAAGTTTCCTTGAAGATAAAGTTTCATACAGCGTTTTTAACCTAAGGTAAGTTTTATGGATGACATTCTCTGCTGAGTCTAAATCTAATGCGATAGGCCATCAACCAATAAATAAATATTTTAAGTAAGCAACGACCATTCAGGTTTCTAGTTTGAGGCAGACGTAAACGCTAGACGTTAGACAAAGAGATTGATTGGTACCGGTAGATTGATTGATTGATTGATTGATGGGTTGGTTGGTTGATTGGTTAATTGATTGATTGATTGATTGATTGATTGATCTCACCATGGACAAAAACCAGACTACAACATGAGTGGATAATCCTCAACCTGCGTTCCAATTAAAATTTAAAAGCGAACATCTGTTACGAGCTTTAACGCTTTATAAAATATTCAGAGCGCAGACTAATGTAACGTTGACCTTTACATGTAGTCCATCTGTCAAGCGTAGCGTGTGCATGCGTTCCTTGTCCCATCTGCGCATGTGTAACACAATTTTCCTTATCACCAATTCTGTGCGTAACTGGTTAATTGATTAATTAAATAGGGACACATTCCGAGCTAACAAGCATCCGGAACAAATTAGCAAAAAGATCAATCTTTTACGCTGTCACAAACAATCTTCGAGTCAATTAGTTTAAATAGGACATAGGTGCCATAATTTCGTGGTAAGGAGTAAAGTTATGTGTTCACGCCGTTATAAGGCACCATGAAGGCACCCAGTGCAGTTTTCAGGGCTAGCTTGGAAACCAAATTTCTCAAAGTTAATATTCTAGTCACTTATTATGTTTACCGAAGGAAAACATTGTTTTTGCTCAGTTTCTTCCTCTTCTTTTTCTCCAAACAGTGACCTCTGATCTGACAAATGACATGATTTGTTGACGTCTGTCACCATGGTGACTGGTGTTGGGTTACAAAATGTTGCAATTTCACAGTCTGCTCTGCTCCTGTCACCATATACTAGTAGTACATGTATGTGAACGTGTTTGATTATGAATTAACAGAGCAGACCATGTCCGAAGGTAAACATTATGCATTTGCTTTGCAAATGTTACTTCTCTAGTCTACATACTAAGTTGAAACAACTCTCTGCTAATGTATATCGACATTCATGGAGCAAAAATGCCCAAAATTCTGACGAAAAACGGTTACGGAAAGGACCTGGATTGATTTTTAGGGTACCACCCCGAAAATAAAGACTTTCTCTAGTGGCTTATTTTTGCAGTTTTAAATGAAATGTCTAAAGTATGAAATACTGATTCAAATGTGCTAATGTGGGACAGTATGTGTCAATATCATACAGATTGCGTTATTATCGCACGTACGGGTGGTGAATCCGCAGACCGCACGCAGAACAAGTTTTACACGCACTTAAAGTTCTACTGCGTGTCTGCGTGCTCCCAAATCCGTAGGATTCCGTACGGAAGCGGTACTCACCACGCACGGATGCCCTACGTTTGCCCACGTTTTTGCACGTAGACAGCACGCAGATGCACGTACGGCGGGTTGTGACCATGTAAGGAATTGGACTTTTTTTTTCTAATCAGTGCAGAGTGAACCTGATCTTAACATCGTATAACGATGGTCTTTGGTTCAATATGTCACATCAATTCCCTTCGCTTGATTACACATACATACCCTTATCAAATACATTATACATAATACATAATTACATGGTACATTATTGTCAAAAAGTAGAAAATCTCTAGGAGGAATTCAACAAGAATCTGTTTACTGCAGTCTTGAACTTAGTCATGTTAGGACTGTCAGGGAAAACCGAGGCTGGTAAGGAGTTCCACAGCCTGCTAGTCCTTGGTACATATGAGGACATGTGCAGCTGAGTGTTGGATCTTGGCACTTTAACAAGGTATGGGTGCCCACTTGTAGTTGAGCGAGTTACTCGCGTTCCAGATACTTTGGTCGGCAGAATTCCAGTGAGTTCCTCTGAGGGTTGCAGGAAGACGTGCCGGTAAAAGGTACTCAGACTGGCTACTTTTCTCCTGTGTTCTAAGGGATATATTCCAACCATTTGCGGATCCCTAATTTAATATCTATCAGTCCAAGTGTTGATAGGGTCTATGAGTTGAGAAGTTCTCGTCGTTGATAGCACAAACATCATGAAACAAGACGCTGTGGTACGTGATAGAAGTTTATGACCTTCATGATAACTTTTCGGTCAAAGTCGTGGCCGGGGATTTTTGTATGGCAGTGGGTCTGCAGATTAGGTTACAGCAAGTAAATTTTATGGATGACATCCTCCGCAGACTCCAAATCTAATGCGAGCGGGCGAAAAAAAAAACAAGGCGGGCCGAAAAAAACAAGGCTCCTACATTTTAAAATTTTGACTCAATCATTGTACAGATGGTTTATATTCAATGGGAACATCACATATACACAGCCAGCATCACATATCACTGTGTCAAAGTAAAAAACAACAACATTAAATCAGAGCCTTGTCTTGTCTCCTGTCTTTATAGTTATCTGTCATCCACCTTCCGGTATGGCAACAGACATCTTTGCCCATTTTCGGCATGTTGAATCTGTCAGAAGGCAACAAAATTTCTTTTTCCAAAATCAGGTAAAAAGTAATTCGCGCGCTGATGTCATCCATAAAAATTACTTGCTGTGGCCTTAGTCTTGGTGTTGATAGGGTTTATGAGTTGAGAAGTTCTCGTCGTTGATAGCAGAAACATCATGAAACAAGACGCCGTGGTACGTGATCGATAGAAGTTTATGACCTTCGTGATAACTTTTCGGTCAAAGTCGTGGCCGGGGATTATTGTATGGCAGTAGGTCTGCAGATTAACAGCTCCGATAGCTGCCTACCGACGGGAACGAAATGAGTGGTAGAGTGGAGTTATCTCGGCTCATAAATTTAGCCTCAGGCCACAGCAAGTAATTTTTATGGATGACATCAGCGTGCGCATTAATTTTCGCCTGATTTTGAAAAAAAAAAAAACAAGAAATTTTGTTGCCTTCTGACAGTGGTCAACATGCCGAAAATAGACCAAGATGTCTGTTGCCATGTCGGAAGGTGGATGGCAGATAACTATAAAGAGAGGAGACAAGACAAGACAAGGCTCTGATTTTATGTTTTGTTTCTTACTTTGATGCAGTGCTATGCGATGTTGGCTGTGTATATGTGATGTTCCCATTGAATCAAAACCATTTATACAATGATTGAGTCAAAATTTCAAAATGTAAGAACCTTGTTTTTTTTCGGCCCGCCTTGTTTTTTTTCGCCCGCTCGCATTAGATTTGGAATCTGTGGAGGATGTCATCCATAAAATTTACTTGCTGTGGCCTGACGGTGGTATACATACGCAATCTACGAACAGATCTTTCGGTGGCTGCCAAGACAGCATCAAATTGGCCCGGCAGTATCCACTTGACAGGCAGTTACCATTGGCCAGGCAGTTACCATCTGTCTGGGGTAA